AATGTATGCAAGGCCCTGGCTTTGATCCCCAGTACCATGGGGGGTGAGGGGGGTGGAATAAATCTAAAACAGTAATGGAGATCATTTCTGGGTGGTGGCATTGAGATGTTTATTTTTTTGCTTCATTTTGCAAATGTATGTCTATTTTTTCTAAGAAATATATACTACTTTTGAAAAAACAGAAAATGAACTTCTTTAAAACAAAGATTCATCTGTATTGTAATTAAGAGGATCTGTATAGTCTATATTATCCAATAAAAATTTAAAATTTGGCTAGGCATGATGGTTCATTCCTGTAATCCTAGCTACTTGGGAGGCTGAGATTGGGAGGATCATGGTTCAAGGTCAGCCTGGGCAAATAGTTTGCTAGACCCCATATTCAAAATAACCTGAGCAAAATGGACTGGAGGAGTGGCTCAAGCAATAGAGCACCTACTTTACAAGCGTGAAGCTCTGAGTTCAAACCACAGTCCCACCAAAAAAAAAAATATATTAGTTATATCATTGTGTAACATAGTCTATGTTCTAGTCCTTTCCTTTTGCTCATTTTGCAGTTGTATCTCACTTGGAGAACTCTAATTGGCACTGGACTTTCCACATGGGTGTGTTGGTTTCTCGAAGAGGTTGAAAGAGCGACTGGTCAGGAGGCCCTGGCCCTCCCCACAGTGCCCAGCACAGAGTGACATGTACTGAGCACTGCTATGTGTGCTAGTGTTGCTAGTTGGGCCAGTGCAGGCCCCCAGGGACCACCTACCACTCACGCTCTGGGTGGTCTAGTCCCATCAGATCACCTGTTTGGTTCTGAGCACTTGTGCAGGTGAAAGACAGTGATGGAGTGGGGTCTTTGTGAGGTGACTTGGAAGAAGAGGAGATCAAGTAGATGGCAGCAGTCAGTGGGGCACATAGGATGTGTACCTATGATTTATACTGTGTCCTTCTAGACTTTTTCCTATGTATCACTACTCATAAAATACTTGTTTTGATAAAGTGGAACTAGATCCGGGAATGTCGCTCGTGCTAGAGCACCTGCCTAGCATATGCAAGATTCTGGGTTCCATCCCCAGCACCTCAAAAAGCAAAACAAGCAACCAAAAACAACAATAAAGCAGGCTTATACTTCTTTATATATTTTGCAACCTTTTCACATTCCTTTCAACAGTAAGTCAAGTTGCATGTAAGTTTATGAAATCAAACATAAGAAGAAAACAGAAGGCTGGGCACTAGTGGCTCGCCCCTATAATCCTAGCTACTCAGGAGGCAGAGATCATGGTTCAAAGCCAGCCCAGGCAAATAGTGAGACCCTATCTCCAAAAAACCTACAAAAAGAGGACTGTTGAAGTGAGTCAAGGTGGAGGCCCTGAGTTCAAATCCCAGTACCGCAAAAAAAAAAAAAGTAGAAAACAAATAGTTGTGGCTGGTACGTTGTTCTTGGCTTCCTGGCATTCTAGAACACATTTTGGCCACTCACCTTTCTTAATAAGGTTTGTGGAGCACTGCACGCTCTCCTGCACTGTTGGCTTGTTCTCCGGCTCACTTTTTGTAGTCATGGAGCTCTGAAATGTCATTGAACAGCAGAGACGGGAGGTACCTCCCCATTCTTCTGGGAGAAGCCAGTTGGAAGAATCCCTTTTTTTTTTTTTTTTTGCGGTATTGGGGCTTGAACTCAGGGCCTATACCTTGAGCCATTCCAACAGCCCTTTTTGTTTATGGGGTTTTTTTTTTTTTGAGATAACATCTCTTGAACTGTTTGCCCGACCTGGTTTTGAACCGTGATCCTCCTTATCTCTCTGCCTCCTAAGTAGCTAGGATGATAGACGTGAGCCACCACTGCGCCTGAGCTCTTTGGTTTTCTTAATGATAATTGGTTACTGTTATTTATTATACAAACACTGTGGCCACATAGTGAAATTTCAAACAATGAGAAACATGTGCCCACAGTGTACCAACGCAGGCCAGTAAGCTACCTACATACGTAACTACTTCACTCCTACAGGAAGAGTGCAAACTTTTCTCCTTTTTATTAACCTTATTGCTCTCTGAGCGTTTTTTCATGCTTCTGAAGAGCTTCATAATGCGCGTTTGTAGTAACTGCAGAGTAGTTCTGGTTTGTTTTAAAAAGGAAAAATAGTGAGTCAGGGCCAGAAAGTGGTGGGGCTCTGGACTGGAGCCTCAGGCATCCCTCCTCCCTTCCCCAGCAGTGTGCACCTGTTATCCTCAAGTGCACCTGGGAGCAGGGGACCTACAAAGCACTCCCAGGGCCAGGTGAGAGAGCGGGACATGTGAGTGAGCTGTCTTGTCCCATCACCATCTCTTCTGCCTCCCCCTCCCCACGTCATGTTGAAGTGGGGGTCTGAGCCACAGGAGAAGCAGGGTCAGTCATTGAGGCTATTTCATCCTGTCTCCCAGAGCACCTGGAGGATGAGGCGGGAGCTGGAACCCTGCAGACCCTGCTGTCTGGGACAGAACCATGTGGCTGAGCTGCCTAGGATGGTGGAGTTAGACGATCTCTTTGTACCAGGAGCCACTCTAGGGACATAAGGACCTCATGTCTGCTTCCCAGACAGCCCCTAGACCTAAGTTCTTTTCTCCCCATTTAATGGGTAAGGGAACAGATGCTCAGAGAGGGTGATGTGCCCAGGTACAGGGCTGGAATGATAACTCAGGTCCTCCATTTTTAGAATTACGATGCCATATGTAGATGTTTGTAAATATGTAGAAAAAGTTCTGGAAGGCCAGGTGCTGGTGGCTCATGCCTGTAATTCTAGCTACTCAACAGGCAGCAATCAGGAGGCTCATGGTTCGAGGCCAACTTGAGCAAATAGTTTGTGAGACCCTATCTTGTTTTTTTTTTGTTTTTGGCGGTACTGGGATTTGAACTAAGGGCTTCACGCTTGCTAGGCAGGCGCTCTACCACTTGAGCCACTCCACCAGCCCGTGAGACCCTATCTTGAAAATACCCAACACACACACAAAAACGACTGGTGGAGTGGCTGAAGTGGTGGAACACCCTTAGCAAGTGTGACCCCTGAGTTCAAACCCTAATACCTCCCCCCACAAAAAAAAATTAGAAGGAGAATTGGTGAGATGGGAGAGGAATTGCAGTTTATAACATTAATTTTGTAAGACCAGTGAAAGTAAAGAAGGCAATGTAGCTAAATGCATTTTGGAAAACAGAAACATTTTTCCGCCTCAGATTTCTTCCCACTGACAGCAGGGGTTCCAGGGGTTCTTCCCATCTTTTCTCCTCCCAGGCACTGGTTTCCTTCCAAGGCTTCAGGCACAGTCATGCAGTTTTGTCCCTTGCTTTGTCATGCCATTTCAACTCAGCTCTCCTGACTCCAAAGCTGACCCTATTCTTCTTCCCTCCTCCTCAGGCCTCCTGCAGGGGAGACTGAGGCCCATCTCTCAGTTGCTCTGATTCCAGGTGATTATGGGTGACCCCAGGAATCCAGCCTGCATGGCCTCCATGGCTAAGGCCAGCCTGACAGCAGGGAAGATGGGCCTGCTAAAAATTATGAGTGATCAGATACACATGACGTAACGCGTGCATCTGTGGGTACTGGCTTCCGCCCCTCATGGTGCTTCCTTGGAGGGAGCAGGCACTGGTGACCAGCAACACCGCCTGGACCTCCCTGTCCAGGTAGCTGGGTTCCCTCCTCCTCCACCCAGCAAGCCTTGCTCCAGGCACTTTCTCCCATCCTGGGGGACCCGTTCTGCTACGCCCCACCAGTCTCATCTCCAGTTTCTCTTCTTTCAGGAGAGACTCTGTGGACTCCAAGTCCTCTGCCACCCCCTCTCCAAAAAGGCCATCAATGGAAAGGTAAGGGAAGTCACAGACTTCTCCATCACAAAGGTCCTATCCAGCAAGCACCCTCTCTCTGCCTAATGGTGGCAGCTGGGGGTAAGGGAGAGGGGAAACCTCCAGCAGTATGTTGTGTGACTTCTCCAATGGAACAGCTGACCAGTGGCTTTTGCTGCATCACTGTCTGGGTAACATTTTCAAGTTCAAGTGGAACCCAGTAAGGACAGAGGCTTTGAAAGCCTGTACCTGGAGTAGCATCTCTCGATTTGGGCTGGACTGCTTTGGATATCTACCCAAAGATAGACTAAATCACCAAATCAATTATTCATCAGCCATTTATTGAGAGCCCACTATGTGCCAGGAACTGCTCTAGGTGTCGGGGATATAAAAATGTACAAAAGAGAAAAATCTCTGTGGCCTCTATTCTAGTGAGGGATGGCAGGCAGTGCACGCAGGAAGTAAATTGTACAATGTTTGAGAAGTGGAAAATGCTCTGGAAAGCAGTGCAGGGGAAGAAGGGGGTTGTCAGATGTCATTAGAACAGTGAGAAAGGCCACTTCCAGGGGATGACCTTGCAGCCAAAGCTTGGGAGAGGTGGGAGTCAGCTGAGCAGATGTTGGGGTCTTTTCTAGCCAAGGGTCCTGGGTCCCGGTGAGCCTGGGAGGGTTCAGAAACAGTGAGGCAGTGGGAGCTGACTAGACGGGGCAGTTGGAGGAGTCATTTTGGGGTTATTTAGAAACGGGAGCCACAAGGGCATTGACCTAGGGATCAGATCACTGATTGATCAGACTGACTCTGGCTAGATTGGAGAGCCTGGGTAGAAGCAGCAACACAAACCATGAGGGCTGTTGGGGTAATTCAGGCAATCTGTGTTGGTGGCTGGGATCGGGATAGTGGTGGCAGATGTGGGAAAGAGGTAAGGGGTGACAGGATTTCCTGATGGATCAGATGTGGGGTATGAGAAAACAAAGGGTGTCAAGCATGATCCCAAGATTTCTCATCGAATGTCTGCAACTGGTACGGGGAAGACAGCATGGAAGTCATGTGTGGGGTGGGCTATCAAGAGAGTTCACATGTAGCTGGTCATGGTAGCTCACACCTATAGTCCCAGTTACTTGGGAGGTGGAGATTGGGAGAATCTCAGTTAGCAAGACCCAAGTTCAACAAACAAGTTGGATGTGGTGGTACACTTCTGTAATCCTAACTACTTAGAATGAATAGATAGAAGAATCGAGGTCCTGGTCCAGCCCAGGAGAAAAGTGCAAAATCCTATATGAAAAATAACTAAAGAAAATAATGAGGGTGGGCATGTGGTTCAAGGGGTGGAGCACCTGCCTAGCAAGCTTGAGGTTCTGAGTTCAAACCCCAGTATTGCCAAAAACAAACAAATAAAAGTCCATGTCTGAAGCAGATGTGGTAGAGCACACCTGCAATCTCAACACTTGGGGACCTAAGGCAGTAGGATCTTGGTTTGGAGGCCAACCTGGGATACAAAGGGAGACTCTGTCTCAGAAAAATAAGGGCAAAAAAAAAAAATATTGGCGGGGATGTGGCTCAGTGGAAGAGCACTTGCCTAGCATTGTGCAAGGCCCTGGGTTCAAGCCCCACTACCATTAAAAAAAAAAACCAGAGAGTTCAAGTTCAGGTCTGAACCTGTTGGATTTGAGGGGTGTCTTAACTCATTCAGGTGGAGAAGCTAAATAAACAGTTACATGAGGCTGCAATTCAGGAAGAACGTCTAGGCTAGAAATAGAAATTTCAGCCATTAGGGTATAGCTGGCATTTAAAGCCATAAACCTGGACGAGATCACCCAGGAGAGGTTGTGGATAGAGGAGTACATTGAATTGGGGTCTAGGAGGGAGGTCAGAGGTCAGAGCAGTAGGGGAAGCTTGGCTAAGGAGAACAGGGTAGTCCAAGAAGTGGCTTAGAGGAGGATCAAGGCAAATGGAGGGGACCCAGGGGCCATATTGAATTCTGAGGTGTCCTGGTAGGACACTAAGGATGTTGGCTTCTAGAAGGGTATGTGGGAGAGCAGCAGTTATTTTAAGCTTAATGTGCCAGTACCACTGCCACTGGGAAAAAAGGAAGGGCACCAGGTTAGGTCACCATGAGGCTTTATAAAGATTGAGCAGGACTGGGTTTTGGACACAGCTTCAACATGGCAGGGAGTGCAGGCTCCATTTGGTGAGCGGAGGCTCTCAGAGTGCTCCTTGGAGAAGGGCTTCTCAGGCTAGAGACCAGAAAGCAAAGTTCTGCACAGGGTGAGGCCTGGGAATGGAAGGTGTCTTCCTGTTCCTGCACCACTGGTTCTCAACAGGGCTTCTTGAGACAATTTGTAGAGGCATTTTTGGCTGTCACTAGGACTGGAGCAGGGCTGAAGGCCAAAGGACAGGAGGCACTGAAAAGTGAGCATTGTCCTTCCCCAAAATAAAGCACCGACTATGAATCCAGTTCTGGGTTTCATGCTGGAATAAAACATTCCACACTGACATATGGATTTATATCTCCCCACTCCTCTCCTGACTTTGCTTCCTGGCCTTAAAGCCTCCTGGCCCCCTCTCATGATGCATTTTTTTCCCTGAAGGTCAGTCAGGGATGTATTTGTCCTTCTAGTAGCTGTGCCATTTCCTGTTGGTTCAGTATTAAGAGTGGGCAGCTGCCAGGCGCCCACTGGCTCCCGCCTATAATCCTAGCTACTCAGGAGGCAGAGATCAGGAGGATTGCCATTCAAAGCCAGCCCTGGGCAAACAGTGTGTGAAAACTTGAAAAATCCCATCACAAAAAAAGGGCTGGCAGACTGGCTCAAGTGGTAGAGCACCTGCCTAGAAAATGTGAGGCCCTGAGTTGAAACCCCAGTGCCACCAAAGGGAAAAAAAACTGTGGGTAGCTAAAAGAGACACAATCAGGTCTTGTAAATTCACTTCTCTTCTGCCCTGTTTCCTGAACACTCTGCCTCTGTATTTCATCTTTCTTTTCCATTCATTCTTCAGCAAGCACATCTGTTGAGCATATATCACGCTTCCAGAGGTGTAACATCTTCCAGGGTGACCAGTGGAGACCATAGCAAAGTAGACTCTGTGTCTGTCTGAGGGGGACAGCCACCACCCAGCCCCAGCTGCTCATTGCCTTATGGATGCGGCGCAAGGTGCTGTGTCTTCCAGGATTTGGGTTTTTTTTTTTTTTTTCAAACAGGATCTTGATACATTTTCCAGTCTGACCTTGAACTCCTAGGCTCAAGTGATCCTTTTGCCTCGCCTTCCAAGTAGCTGGGATTATAGACACATACCCCCACACCAGGCTGTCTTCTAGTTTAAGGAAAGCTGGACACCTAGGTTTTCATATGAAATTCCCAGTGTTAAATATTGGTGACATATTCATATTTTTCTAAGATGTAGCACGGCATAGAACATATTTGTAGCTCACCCCTTTGTGACCTCTAAGGTCAGGCAAAGACTGAAACTCATAGATCTAACCCTAGTGCAGAGGCACAGGCTTCTAGAAGGGAGTGGATATGCCACACAGTGGGCACACGAGAAGACTGCCTCAACGTGACTTGAGTAGGGACAGGAGACTTCATGGGAGTCTTGTGTATTTGTTCTGGGAATGGAAAAATAAATAGTTTGCCTGGTAGACGTCCAGGAGGAGCCTCTCGAGCAGTGGGGATGGCAGTGCAAAGTGTGACTGTAGTAAATAGTTAGCAGAGGGATTTGGCAACTGTAGTTGGAATACCACAAAGGTCACCAAGGTGACAGGAAAGAGACTTGCAGTTGTGACAATCACCCTTGACCTGGTTGTCCAAATTGTTGGACGGGCGTAGCAATTAGGGCACACTTGGCAGTGCAGTACCTGAAATGCCCTCGAGGTGGCACACGGGAGCAGTGAGTGAGGCCTCCAGGGGCCTCTGCCCAGACTTGGGGCAGGATCTCCTAAGCGCTGATGCTGGCACGTGGAGAGCAGAAGGAAGCTGTTGATAAACCAGCCTCCACCCTACCTTCTCTGCAAACTGGCATGGTTCCCAGTCATGTGCATTGAAAGCAAAATGAGCGTGGCTGCCTGAAATGCCACCCGGATGCAAAATCCAGCCAGCCAGCCAGCTCCTAGCCAAGGAGCATGCTTTGCCAGCAAGGTGGGGGGGAAAATGTTCCAAGCAGCCTCACCTTGCTCAGGCAAGACTCTGGAAAATTCTTTTAGAGACACAGTGAGATGTGTTGAACAGAATTGGGAAGACAGACAGACTTTTTTGGTGCAATTCTATCTATCATTTTTGTAGTTGGATGGATAAGCTGCTCTGAGACTCAGTCTGTTGATCTATAAAATGGAAACGATTATGACTCCCTACCTCTCAAAGTCACTGCAAGGATCAGATGAAGTAACAAAATGCCTAGCCTTGTTCCCAGCCCATAGAAGAACTCAATAAATACATAGCGTGTAGTGATCGTAACCATATGTGATGTGGTTATCTTTGTACGTTGCCTGATAGTTTTTTCTTTTTTTTGGCAGCACTGGGGTTTGAACTCAGGGCCTCACACTTGCTAGGCAGGTGCTCTGAAGTCACTCCACCCACCCCTAATAGTTTTTTGCTGCAATGTTCTTAGGTTCTTCAATCATTTCAACAACCCCAGAAGATGGGTACTATTGATCCCATTTTACATGCGAGAAAACCAAGGCATCTAGAGGTTAAGGAACTCACCCAAGGTTGCATAGCTACAAAGCAGGTGTACCAGGCTTTGAACCTAGACGCTTGGCTGTGGAGCTGAGAGTCTTAGCAAGCATCCCACCTCACTGTATGCCTAGCCATGAAACTTTGTCATTGTTGGTTGCTGTCCTGCCTCCTTCAAAGCATTGTACTGAGGCTCCCCTCGAGGCTTTCCTCTGGTGAGCCTGGACATTCATGATGTGTGCTGGGGCAGTAGGACTTCCTTCCAGCTGTAGGAAAGAGGAAAGTGATATCTGTCTGTCTGTCTCTCTCTCTCTCTCTTTCTCTGGGCAGTGCTGGGGCTTGGACTTAGGGCCTTGAGCTTGGGGAAGTGGTCTACTACTTGAACCACGCCCCCAGTCCTTTTGCTTTTAGTTTGTTTTTCAGATAGGGACTCATGCTTTTGCCCAGCCTGACCTCAGACCTTGATCCTGTCCCTCCTAAGTAGCTGCAATTACAGGCCGAGTCACTATGCCCGGCCCAGAGTGAGCTCTTCCCTTAAGCCCAGGAAGTGGGTCGCTGACCTTCCAAGGAGGACCTGCCCCTCACCCCTAATTCAGCTCTACTTGAACCCCCTGGATGTGCCTTTAACTCTTTACAGTCAACGCCCTCGGCTTATCAATCACTCAGCGGAGACTTGCTGAGTGCCACGTGAGCTCTGTTACAGGTCGGGAATACAGCGAAAAACAGTGGGTCACTATGCCCTGGAACCTGCAATCTGGAGATGCAGACAGACAATGTTTATAAACCATAAACAAGTTAATTATAGACTTGGATAGGTGCTATGGAGTCGGCCTTGGCTGAGGTGTCCAGGAAGGGCCTCCTTGAGGATGTGACATTTGAGCTGAGCCCTGACTGGCAGGGAGGCAGCAGTCAGTCAGAGGTGGGAGTCGGCCGGGGGAAGGGGTGGGTCTCAGGGAGTGAGAGAATCAAGGCTGTGCTACTGGGCGTGCTGTGGTGAGCCCGGGCGATTAGATGAGAAAGGGGACAGCACTGAATGAGAATTGCTGGGGGCCATGGGAGTGGCTCAGCTTCATGCCTTGGTAACTAGAAGGCCTGCAAGGCTCAGAAGCAGCTGTGGAGTTTTGAAAAGTGCTCTGGCTACTGTGTGACAAATGGATTGTAGGGAGGTCAAGAGGACCAGGGAAACCAACGTGGGAGCTGAGCCCAAAGGGTAGGGGTGGGAGAGCCATGCGGTGACGGCAGCACCTACTTGCAGCCTCCACACCATCCCTCTCCCGCTGAAATCCCACTGCTGGTAGAGTTGGTTAGACTCCAGGGAAAGCTAGTCCACAGTAGTAAGTTTTAAAGTGCATTAAAAATGCGCAAATAAGGCTGAGCATGGTGGCATACACCTATTATCCAAGTACTTGGGAGCCAGAGGCAGAAAGATCATGAGTTCAGGACTAGCCAGGGCTACAAAGTGAGTTTAAGGTTAGCCTAGGCTCCGAAGTAAATTTAAGGCTAGCCTGGGCTTCAAAGTGAGACTCTGTTTCAAACAAAACAAAAGGGCTGGTGGAGTGGCTCAAGTGGTAGAGCACCTGCCTAGCAAGCATGAGGCCCTAAGTTCAAACCCCAGTACCGTAAAAAATAAATAATGGAAGCAAGTTAAAAAATAAATAATGGAAACAAGTTAGGGAATCCTTTTGAACAAAATTTTTGAGAATTTACAACATATGCCTTATAAGAGCAGAATCTATGCTCCCACCCACCTCACCAGTGTGGCCACAGAGACACCTTTGGAGAACCTCAGGTCTCCAGAGATCATAAAAATCCCAGTGGTCCAGTGCTGTCAGTGGCGACAGAGGAGATCCAAAACCAGGCCAAACAGCAAGGGCTGGGGGACAAGGAGGCCACTGGCAAAGGCCAGAGCACAAGAGGAGCGCTCTTGGGATGTTGCTGGGATTCTCTTGTAAGTCAGGTTTTAATATTGGGTAGCCACAGCTTCTCCCTCAGCCTCACTCGCAGACCCAACTCCTGGGGCCTGAAGACTTTCTCAGACTCCCAGCATCCCCTTCCTGAGTGGAAGAAGGTCCACAAGCTGAAAGTGATCATGACATGTGCTTGCAGATTCAGACCCCAGGGTTGCTTGGTATGGCTGCCCAGACTGTGCACTGGACAACTACTGGAGATACCCAGCAAATAATGAGTGGCGGTTCTTGAAGTTAGGAAAGCCAGTAGCCTTTGGGGCCCTTCCGCAGGGCCCAGTGTGGATAGACACTGGAGTGGAGGAGGGGACCCTAATTTCTTTGACTCTGATAAGTCAGTTTTTTCTGAGCAGAGATAGAGGAGTGAATTGGCAGAATCTGGTGGGTTACTGAAAGACAAGATGGGAAGGGCGGAGGCATGGAGGCAGTGGAGACTGCTGGTTGCCTGACTCTGGCCCAAGTACAGAAAAGGCCCTGAAATTGAGGGAATTATGCAACTCCCAGCAACTCTCGCTTCTCCAAGCTTCATGCTCTCATTTATAAAATGGGGCCAGTAATTCACGACTCCCAGGTTGCCAGGAAGAATAAATAGCAAACACTTGGTCAATGGCAGCTTTCATTACCTCTTCCATCCTTAACAAGTCCTTTCTCGCTTGCTCCCTCACCCTCCCACTCCAGCCCACAGAGTCACCTCAGCATCGCAAACTTGGGGACCCCATGCTCCCATGAGTTCCTGCCAAGAATGTGTCAGCCTGTCCCATCTCTGAGTGGCCAACTCCTTCCTCTCCATCCCTCGATGATCTTTTGGACCAAATTGCACTGTAGTGTGACTCATTTCCCCTTTCTTATTTTATTATTTTTTGTCGGTACTCGGGCTTGAACTCAGGGCCTCATGCTTGCTAGGCAGGAGCTCTACATTTGAGCCACTCCACCAGCCTTTTTATGTTGGCTATTTTTGAGATAGGGTCTCATGAACTGTTTGCTTAGGCTGGCCTCCAACCTCGATCCTCCTTATCTCTGGCTCTTTTATTGTGTTAAAATATATATAACGGAAGTTACCATTTAACCTTCTTTTTTCAGAATGAGATAGTTTGTCATTTCAAATGGATTAAGACCTACAAAATAACAGTGATTGCTTAGCATGGGCAAGGCCCTGGCCCTGGCTTCAGTCCCCAGCACTGCAAAAAAAAAAAAGGAGTAGTTATAAAATCTGAAATCTACAATGATAACTAATTTATAATTTGCTCTAGATACTTGGTAAGTCTCTCTCTCTCTCTTTCTCTCTCTCTCTCTCTCTTTTGTGCTGGAAGTGGAACCCAAGGCCTCACAAATGCAAGGCAAGTGTTCCTCCACTGCACCACACCCCAGTCCAGTGTCCTGGCTGCTCAACTGACTATATGGATTTTTTTTTTATTTTCAAAAACTAGATGAAAATAAAATGGCATTTTTGTCATTTTTTTTAATGTTTTGCACTTTATCATTTCATTTCTTTTTTTTTAAATAAGGCTGGGGTTTGAACTCAGAGTTTCTCATTTGCAAAGTAGACTCTTCCACTATCATTTTTTTTTTTTTGATGATACTGGGGTTTGAACTCAGGGCCTTGCACTTGCTAGGCAGGCACTCTACCACTTGAGCCAAACCCTCAGCCCGCAAAGTAGACTCTTTACCACTTGAGCCACACCTCAGACTGCACTTTACCATTTTAAGTGTGAAGTTATGTGGAGTTGAGCACATTTACAGTTTGTGCCATTTTTACCACCATCAGTCACCAGAACTGCTTTCATCTTCTCAGTCTGAAACTCCTTCCCCACTCTGTCCAGCCCCAGAAGCCACCTTTCTCCTTCCTGTGTCTGTGAGCCTGAGCACTGCGGACCACTCACATAGATGGACTTATGGCGTTTATCCTTTTGGGACTGGTGTGCTTCACGTACAATGCATTCACAGTTCATCTACATTGTAGCATGTGTCAGAATTCCATTCCTTTTTAATGGCTGAGTAATACTCCCTTGTGCATATGCATCATATTTTGCTTATCCATTCAGATGTCTATGGACACTTGGGTTGCTTCCACATTTTGCTGGCAGCTCTTTGTGAACAGAAGACAGGAAGCCTCTCTGAGCCTCCAGTACAGAGTGACCACTCATAATGGTCAAATTAAAAAGAAAATTGGCTGGGGGTATGACTCAAGTGGTAAAGCACCTGCCTAGTAAGCACAAGACAAACCCTGGTACTGCCAAAAAAAAAAAAAAAACAGAATCTCTTACAAAAGTAATTCTTTTATTTTTGTGTTTGAGACAGGCTCTGGCTGTGTAGCATAGTCTGACTAACAACTCATGACCCTCCTACCTCTGCTTCTTGAGTGCTGGATTACACGTGTGTACCACCAATCCAGCTTAAAAAGAGATATATTCTTTGAAGAAGATTTAGAAATGTGCAGAAGCAGAAGAAAATGAAAATCTTTTATAGGCTGGATGCCAGTGGCTCACGCCTGTAATCCTGGCTACTCAGGAGGCAGAGATCAAGCAGGTCGTAGTTCGAAGTCAGCCTGGGGAAATAGTTCATGAGACCCTATCTTGAAAATAGCCAACACATAAAAGGGTTGGCAGAATGACTCAAGTGGTAGAGTACCTGCCTAGCAAGTGTGAGGCCTTGAGTTCAAACCACAGTACAGACCCCCCAAAACCCCCCCAAAACACAGCTCTTCTAATCTAATCTCAGAAAGATAATTGCCATTGAACGGTGTTATGAACTGAATGTTTGTAAACCTCCCCCCATTCATATGTTGAAGCGCCAAATCCCAATGTAACTGTATTTGGAGATGGGACCTTTATGGAGGCCTTCAGGCTATGTGGTGTCATAAGGGTAGAGCCCTCATCCAACAGGATTAGTGTCCTTATAAGAAGCGACACCAGAGAGCTCACTTGCTTTCTGTCCTACATGGAGACAGTGAAGAGAGCCCTCACTAGAAACTAAGTTGTCCAGCACCTTGATCTTGGACTTCCAGCTTTCAGAACTGTAAGAAAATTAATTCTGTTGTTGAAATCATTGTGTGTGTGGCATTTTGTGATGTCACCCTGAGCTGACTAAGTCACATAGTTAGCTTGCCAATTATTTGTGCATACATGCATATGTATTTCTGTTTTTTGAATCCCAAACCTAAATGGAATCATTCGTAGACAGTATATCATGGAGTTAAGAGTGAAGGCATCTGAATCGGGCAGCCCCAGGTTCACATCTCTATAGTGCGTCATTCCAGGCACGTCAGTGGTGAAACTCTCTGGGTTGTTTCCTTGTGTATAAATGGGGATGGCAAGTGCTGACCTCCAGGGGCTGCTCAGAGCATGAAATTAGAAAATGCTCCTAGAGAATCTGGTACAGCTCTGGCACCCTCCTAATCGGTGGTAAGTAGGCACTGCACTAGGTTGTGAGCTCCTGGTGGGAGGAAGGTGTCCTGTTGGCTGCTTTACCCCATGATTGACTGAATGGGTGGTTTATATACTGCTGGAGAAAGAGCCTGGACAATTGTGATGGTGTCTCCTGTTTCAGGATGAGTAGAGCACAGTGAGAGGTTAGGAGCCTAGTTACCCGGGAGCTCATCTTCCTGGGTTCGAGTCCCACTCCTTACCTGGCTCCCAGATGTGTAACCAGAGTCAAGTCCATCTTTAAATGCATCTGTCTGTAAGACACACCTCTGAAATGGGGATGAGAATAGCACTGGCCTCACGGAGTTGTTATGAGGATGAAATGAGATGAATGATCCCTGTTGAGTGCCTAAAATAATCCTGCCTCATGGGGTTTATATGAGGACTAAAAGCATCTATGAAAACCTCTAGAGCAATGCTCAATGTCAAAATGGCTGTTACTGATTGTCATCCTCAGATCAAACAGCAGCAAATCGAAAGTGGAGACCCCCAAAACACCCAGCAGCCCCTTGACTCCCACGTTTGCCCCCTCTGCCTGCCTCCTGGCCTCCTGCTATCTCACAGGGGACTCTGTCCGGGACAAGTGTGTGGAGATGTTGTCAGCAGCCCTGAAGGCAGAAGGTGAGAGGGTTCTGGGCCAGGGATGGGTGGAGGGAAAGCCGCTCCCCAGGTAGGATGGCCTCTTTCCAGAGCTTGGGAGTGGTCAGGACCGCTGTCATCCCTGTGTAAGCAGGCACTGCTGGCAAGGTCACGTCTGGCTGATGTCTGTATTTCCCAATCTCTTTTAGATGATTACAAGGACTGTGGAGTCAACTGTGACAAGTTGGCCTCAGAAATCGAAGATCATATCCTTGAGCTGCACTGGGGCTGTGGGAACCTGGAGTATCTAGTGGGGGTGCGGAAGGGCTCTGGGGACAGTCTTCTGCTCTGCCCTGAGTCAGAGCTCTTGAGATCAGTGAGGCTTTTAAGTTTCACCACAGCCTCTGTTGTGCTGTTACTCACAGTCCCTCGTCAGCCCCACCAGGTAGGTTCCTGGATTCACCTGGTTGAAGGTGAGGCTCAGGGAGGTTAAGCCACCGTCCAAAGCTCACACAGCTGAGAGCAGTTGCAGAGTTGGGATTTGAACCCAGAAAGTGTGACTTCAGAGCATGAGGGTTCCACCACTGTGTGGGATAGGCCATGTCATCCATGCCTCAGTTGGTCAAGCGTTACCCACTGGATCTGGGTAGACAGAGGACAGAGTGCCTCATGCTCAGCCTTCCTGCTCTTCCTTCCTCTGATGGTCTAAGTTCCTGTGTTTGACAGCCTGACCTGTTTCAGGCAGGTGCTATGCTGGGCAACTGAGACTTCCTATCCGTGTTAACGCTCCCAACCACCCCTGTGAGGCAGGACCCGTTGTTCTCATTAGGTAGATGAGGAAACAAGGCTTGAGAAATTTTGGGTGCCAGAGCTGACTGAAAACTTTCGTCTTTGGTTCCATGCCCTGAACTCTTAACATTCTCTCCTCTCCCGCTTCCCATCTGAGAGGGCCAGGTGGAGATGGGGAGGTGACCACCACTGTGATACCGGCCCCCTACTCCAAAAGACCTGGGGAACACAGCCGTCGCCCCATGCCCCACTGACAGATGCATGGAGTTTCTCTTACTGGAGACAATGGTTTGCTTATCAAAGATGGGGGAGAGGGCAGGACCTCCAGCAGAGAGGGAGTCCAAGTGTCACATGGGGGTGTGAGTGACCCTTTGCAGGCCTCCTGGGTTCTAACTGGAGAGCTCAGATGAGTCTCTGGGGAGGCCCAGGGACCAGTCTGCAGACAACAAACTTCTGCTTCCATGTCCTCCCAAGACCAACCCTAACATCCCCCAACATGTTTCCTGGTTTTCCTTCTACCAGTTATTAGCCAGCAATACCTGGACAAGTTTTGAACCCCCAACCTCTCAGCAAATATATTTCTGCCATTTCCTATTAATTCAGCAATGCCAGAGCTGGAGGTTTCAGGACTTCATCTTCATTTTCTCCCAAACAGTCACCCCTCCAAGCAGGTCCCTTCCGCCTCCAAGTCCGGTTGGAAGCAAAAGATGGTCTGGTACCTAATTCCTCTCCTGGCCTTTCCTTGTTGGCTTCATCCACTGGATGTCCCTCTTCTAAAGGGAGAAAGTGAAAGCTACAGTAAAGCCCCTTAACTCTTTAACCACAGTTAGGGGGAGGATAAATGTGGGGGCTTGAACGTTCTGTGTCCCAAACAAGGTCTGTTCTCTTTGGAGCCATGGCACATGCGGGGCATGGGTACACCCCCCTGAGGGATCAGGGACCCTCTGGGCTCCTCTCCACTTCATCCTCCTCTGTAGTCTTGGGAAATGCAGAAGTCAGATGAAAATGTCACCAGCCCCACTGTCTGCACTATCACCAGACTCACGCTTCAGAAATCCTGAATGGCAGAGTTTTAAATGCACATTTCGGCTCTCAGATGCATTGTGGCTTCTTCTTGTCTTTTCATGTTTTTACTGTACAGACAACAGTAACCCAACAACAGAGAAAAGGAGGAATGCCACCTTCCCTCCCAGCACTTCTTGCAAGTCAGCTGTTTCTATTTTGCACATTGCCCACAGTCTCTTTCTTGTATATGGTTTTTCCCAGCAATGGCCTTGTCTTCCTGACTCTGCTTGGCTTGGGAGACCAAGAAAATGAGGCTGTGTTCCCTGAGCCCCTCCCCAGGAGGAAGGGATGGGAGGCCTGTCTGGGGTGTAGGGTTTGGACAGAAACACACTGTGGTCAATGGCCAGGGGTAACTTCCTGCAGGGTGAGTAGAGAGAGCATTGCTGTTGGGGGCGGGGGTGGTCTTGGCTTCCAGCCCTGTCTTTGCCGGGAATCTGCCCTGCGACCTTGAGCGAGGACCTGCCCCCTCAGCTTCCTCATCTGTTTGTGGGAGAAGAAGTAACTGAGCAGCCAGTCTCAAAGTGGGCTCCATGGGATGGTCGTGGGTATGACTAAGGAGAGGGGGAAGAGGACCAATGATCCAATACGTTGGGAATGCTAGACTACCCAATGCTCAGTGACTTCTCTTAGCAGTCACTTCTTAGAGCCCTAAACACATGGCTCTTTACTTTTTTCTCTGATGGCCTGTCGCCCCCAGGACATTTGCAAATTACAGGTTCCCTATTGGCATCATCATAACAGCACGTAAATATGGGACATTTGAGGTTCTAGACACCACACTGGTACCTCATGTGGCTTGGCTCATTGACCCCTGCAGCTCTGTACTTTATAAGTAAAGCAACTGAGGCACAGAGAAGTCACATGCCTCATCTGAGGTCACACAGCCTGTTCCTGGGGTCTCAGACACCATGATGCTTGCTACAAGCTAATCTCCCCTGGGAGGCTGATTCCTGTCTCTGATAGTTGGCTGACCCCAAATGCACAAGTGAGTCCCCCACTGGGCAGTCAGAGGCTACAGAGGTGCCGTAGGACCCCTATAGAAATCCACGGGAGAGGAGGAGATGGCCCCAGGGCTCCCATCCTCTGTGCCCGTCCACACGTGGCTCTCTGGCCCTTGACCCTGTCACATATCTACCAGGAGCTCAAGAGCACTGACATGAAGTACCGGAACCGTGTGCGCAGCCGCATCAGCAACCTGAAGGACCCCAGGAACCCGGGGCTGCGGCGGAACGTGCTCAGCGGGGCCATTTCTGCTGGGCTTATTGCCAGGATGACCGCAGAGGTGAGAGCCGCTGCGCCTCAAGGGGGGCAGGGGGCCAGGCCCCTCAGCTCTGCCCAGCTCTGAGAGGCAGTGGCTGCAACTTAGTGGAGACAGGCAGGGCTTTTACAGCAGAACTGCCTGAGCCTCCCTACAGGGCTTCTGCACCAGCAGGGTAGTGAACGCAGATAGACGTGCTAAGTGCTGGGCCAAGTACTGTAAGCACATAGGTCAATTCTGTATCTTCACAGCGACTGAGCTGGAAATGCTTATTGTCCCCATTTCACAGGTAAAGATGCTGAGGCCCAGAGGAGTAACCTGATTTGCCCTTGCACAGCTAGGAAGTGTTGAAGCCGGGAAGCAGCTGTCTGGCCCTGGGGCATCTGCTCTTCCCTGCTTTCTTATCTGCCTCCCTCTTGTCTTAGACAGATAGGAGTCCCAGGTAAAGAGGCAAACAGGCTTGCAAATAGGGCTACCACAGAGAGGTAAACGCCATGAGAGCCACCAGGAACTTAACAGGAGGGAAGAAAGGGTTAGGTCAGCTTAGAGGGGTGGATGGGGAAGGACAGGGAACAAACCTATTCACAGGAGCAATATAGAAGTTAGAAGCCTGGGATCTGGGCCAGCCTGCCTGAGATTGAATCACACTTCTGCCACTTAGTCGTGTGATTGTGGACAAGCTACTTACCCTCGCTGGGTCTCCATTTTTCCCTCTGTAAAGTGAGGATTTAATGAGTTCATATATGTGAAGTATTTAGAAGGTGAATACACATAAAGCTGTCCCCAAAATTTCACCAACCATGTCGTGTAACTCTCATGATAAAGCCATAGAAGAGGAAACACGAGGCTGAAAGTGTGTCTAGCTCAGTGGGGGAGCACTTGCTTAGCATGAGCAAGGCCTTGCAGTCTATCCTCAGCATGGAAAAGGAAAGGGGAGTGCCCCATTCTGTGGATAAGAAAACCAAGGCCACACACAACTAGCGAAGCTGAGTCCTTGGGCCGTTTGTGTCAGAGCCCACATGCTGGAAAGACCTGTCTCGTACCCAGTCCTGACGGCTCTTCACTGCCAGTGTTAAGGGACAGCCCCACCAGCGCAGATAGGAGGATGTGGCAGGCAGCTGGGAGCACTTGAAACTGTTGGCAAGGTGTCCTCTGTGACTGGGGTGTGTGGCATGGGTGTGGATGTATTGTGTATGGTGTGGGGAGTATATGCTGTGTGTGTGATATGTGAGTGGGAATGGAGTTTAGGATGTATGTGAGATACATGGCAGATGTGTGTGGAGTATATGATGTGTAAGTGTGTGTTGTGTGTATGATATGTGGGTGTGTGGTCAGTGTGTGCTGTGTAGTTAGCATATGTGTGGTGTATGACTAATGCATGTGTGGCGTGTGATGTGTGGTTAGTGTGTATTTGCTATGTGGAGAGGGTGTATATGCTATGTGTGACTAGTACGTGTGTCATATGTGGTTATCTTGTGTGTTTAGTGTAGGCGTGGTGTGTGGAGGGGTGTGTGTGTAGTGTGACTAGAGTGTAGTGTGTGGTTAGGTGTGGTAGTTAGGTATGGTTAGTGTGTGGTGTGGTTAGTGTGATGGTGAGTGTGTGTGATGTGTGATATGTTTGTATGGTGTGTGGTTAGTGTGGTGTGTGATGAGTGTGTGTGGAGTGGTTATTTTGTGGCATGTGGTTAGTATGTGGTGTGGTTAGGTGTGGTGGTTAGATATGGTTAGTGTGTGGTTAGTGTGTGGTTAGGTGTGGTTAGGTGTGGTTAGTGTGTGGTGTGGTTGGTGTGCAGTGGTGGTTTGTGGTTGGTGTGGTGTGGTTAGTATATGAGTGGTTAGTGTGTGTGTGGTTAGTGTGTGGTGTGGTTAGGTGTGGTGGTTAGATATGGTTAGTGTGTGGTTAGTGTGTGGTGTGGTTAGTGTGGCGTGTGGTTAGGTGTGGTTAGTGTGTGGTGATGGTTACTGTAACGTGGTGTGTTTGTGTGTGTGTTACAGTACATGTACACACATTTTCCTGAGGAGAGGGCTCACTGTTTTCCTCAAATTCCCAGAACAACAAAGAGCCCCCCTTTCTGTAAGCTCTGATCTTTTTGGGCAAACAGCAACCTGTGCCAGACATAAACTGCCGTGGGCTTTACGGTGTCTGAGTCAGCCCAGGCTGTCACAAAAACACCGCAGCCAGGTGGCTGATAGCAGCAGACATTTACCCTCACGGTTCTGGAGGCTGATGGTCCAAGATCAAGGTAGCAGTAGAGTCAGCGTCTGGCATAGACAGCCATGTTCTCACGCGCCTCATGTGGCAGAGCAGCGAGGGGTCTCTCGGGCATCTTTTGTAAGGATAGTGATCCCGTTCATGAAACCTCTGTCCTTACAACCTAATAGCCTTCAAAGGCCACCTCGAAACACCCGTGACCTTGGCGATAGGATTTCCACATGCGCACACTAAGGAGACCTTCATCTTGCCGTCGTCTTTTGCCCCAGGCAGGAAGTTTCGGTCAGAAATATGTGACAATTTTGGTTCCAGTAAGAATCATAGTGGCTTCCAGTTGGGCACCCTCTGAGTGGGGACTCAGAAGTCGGGAGCCCCGTGAGGGAGCATGGACAGTGGATGTCCTGGGGTTGTGGGGGGGCGGTATTTCTGCACTGTCCTCACCTCTCTTTGTATGTCTCTCTTTGCTCACCTGACTTCCTCTCTCTTCCTCCTCCTGTCTTTTCCTCCTCACCCAGACATATCAAAGAATGGCACAGGTTCAGCTATGTGTTAGAGCTGTGGAGGGTCACACTGTCCTGTCAGCCCATGAAGAGAGGGTTTTGTCTGTCCACTGTTCACCCAGCATGGGTGCTCAAAAATATTTACTGAATCTGGAAGCCAGGTGTGGTGGTACATGCTTGTAATCTGAGCTCTGGGGAGTCCGAGGCAGGAAAATCATTAGTTCAAGGCCAGCCTTGGCAACATAGTGAGTGAGACCCTTTCTCAAAAAACAAAACAACAAAAAACTATTTGTTCAATTCACATTTGGGGCCCTTTTCTGACAGCACATACCACAAGGGGCCACTGTCATCTACTTTTTCTCCTTTTGACCTTTTCTTCTTCCTCTTCTTTTTTTTTTTTTTTTTTTTGCCTGGGGCCAGCCTGGACTGAGATTATCCTATTTACAACTCCTGAGTAACTGGGATGACAGGTGTGCACCATGTGCACCATCATGTCCAGTTTATTATCAGTTGAGATTAGGTCTTGCTAACCAAATCTCAATTCTCCCAATCTCATCCTCCAGAGTAGCTGGGTTTATAGGCGTGAGCCATCATGCCTGGCCTGGTCATTAGTGTACTTGCTCTGATTGTCTCTTTTGTGGGGGTGGAGAGGGAGGATTAGCCCAGGACCTTGCCCATGCTAGCCAACTCCTCTACTTACTGAGTCACATCTTCAGTGACTCTGTGCGTCTTTGATACTGCTTCATGCTAAATGAGGTAGGGCAGAGATAGGTGAACAGATTTGTGAGTGGATATATGGAATTTCCCAGTTTTTCTTTCTTTCTTTTTTTTTTTTTTTCATTTTCTTTTCTGTGCTGGGGCTTCAACTCAGGTTCTTGCACTAGCTAGGCAGCACTCTACTGCTTGAGCCACTCCATCAGCTCTTTTTCTTTCTTCAGCAGTACTAGGGTGTGAACTCAGGGTCTCGTGATGGCTGGGCAGGTACTCTACCACTTAAGCTGCACCCCCAGCCCTTTCTTGCTTTAGCTGTCTTTTGAGTAGGGTCTCACTTTATGTCTGGGCTGGGCTGGACTTTGGTCCTCCTGTTTACCTTCTGAAGGAGCGGCTGAGATGACAGACACACTCGGCTACACCCAGCTGTTTTATTGATTGAGATGGAATCTTGCTAATTTTTTGCCTGGATTGGCCTTGACCCTCCCTCCTCCCAACCTCTTTCTCCTGAATTGCTAGGATTATAGGCATGAGCCACCACGCCTGACTCCGTTTTCTACTCTTAGGTGGCACTCAACACTCTTCCTTCCACAGACCTGTCTCAAACCACTTCTCTCACACTCCTCAACTTCACCCCACCCCAGACACCCTGCCCCAAATGTGCCATTCTTGTCTGCTGATCTTTTGTGTCTGCTCTTTGTCTGGAATGTGTCACCCTCTTCAGAATGCCTATCTCTGAAGTCTGGCAGAAGTACCCAAGTCTTTTTGGTTTGATTCATTTTGTTATTTTTGAGACAGGGTCTCTCTCTCTCTCTGTCTGTGGCCCATGCTGGCCTGGAACTCTCAATCCTCCTGCCTCAGCCTCCCAAGTTCTGGGATTACAGATGTGCACCACCATGCTCAGCTAAATATCAGGTTCTCTATGACCCAGCCTGACTGGGAAGCAGGTAGCCATCATCCACTGTGCTGCCCTCACCTTGCATACCTTGCTTGGGTACCTCCTTCCCTCTCTTGCAGTCTCATAAAATGCCTGGCTACCCTACCAGATAAGCCATTTGTGGGGACAAGAGCCAAGTCTTGCAGTCTAAAGTCATGGGACCCAGAGGCAGTGGTGTCACTGCCAGCTCAAGAGAGAGGATTAGGTGCAGCTTTTTCCTGCCCTGCATCCAGTTATGTCACCTTAGTAGCTTGAAACTGACTACGGTGGGAATATTTGTGGCACGTAAGCTGACTAATGCTGTATGAATCAGGTCTCCTATAGCACAGCCAGTTTACTGGCACAGCAGTGCAGCTAAAGGCATTCCGTCAACCGGCATACTCCAGATTGAGAAGGCAACACTGCAGTATCCCCCATGAAATCCCCTAAATTAAAGTCAGCTGCTTCTTACTCACATAGCTTTAGGTGGACTTCTTTTTCTGTACACACTGCTATTGGTTAGGCGCCAGCTCCTGTATGTAACACAACAGGATTTAAACATTAGTGTACCCCAGAATTACTTGGGGACATTGGTAAAAATGCACATTCCTGGGCCTGCCAGGATTTCAGATTTGCAGGAATCTGCTTTTTTTTTCCCCCAAGAAGTCTGATGAGTTATAGGACACTAAACTCATTTGGATTTCTGTCGCCTCTGTGCTCCAAGGTTTAAGGAGCCAGGACGGACAGCAGAAATGAAACTGGTTAGCCAGTACCAGGTCCTTGCCTTCACATGGCCCTCAGCCATCCTCCTTCCCCCACACCAACTCTCCATTGGCACTGTGTCCAGTCTGAGTGTCTCCTCTCTGCCCTCCTAGGGCAGAGGCTTCACAGGAGTCCAAGGGACAGATTGGGGGCAGGGAAGGGCCTGGATGGTGCAGACATTGCTACAATGGGAGATGGGAGGCTGGGTTCTGTGGGAATGACCAGAAAAAGCCATCTACAGCGCATAACCACAGGGAGTCCAGGAGCCACAGGGGCCTGTGGTTGGGGGTGGCCAGCAAGTCATGGATACCTAAGTCAAGGTGCCCATGAGGCAGAGCAGGCTGGGCAGTGATCACAACTGGAATAGCCCCTGGGTCAAGTCCAGACTAGAAGGATGGGGATGTATAGAGACCAGATGGGTGGTGGTCACATCAGTTACCATGGGAAGGTTCTGTTCAGGTCAAGGTCCTGGCAGGCAGGGCAAGTGCCAGGTCTGAAGGAATGACACCCCAGTGCTAATCTGGGAGCTCAGCTGTTTGCCTGACTCTCTCCTGAACACACCCAGCTGACCTTGGCCCAACCAGAGTCTCCAGGTTTGACCTTCCAACCAGGGAAGTGGGGACTGTTCGGGTACAACCTTTTCCCAGCTGGGGCCAGACCAAGGCTCCTTCTCCACTCAGCATGTTCCCTCCTTTGTGTAGGTTCTAGACATGGGGCATGGGACTGAGACCCTAGGCTCCCCAGTCCTAAGGGCAAGACTCATTTCTCTCCAGGAAATGGCCAGTGACGAACTGAGGGAGTTGAGGAATGCCATGACCCAGGAGGCCATCCGTGAGCACCAGATGGCCAAGACCAGCGGCACCACCACTGACCTCTTCCAGTGCAGCAAGTGCAAGAAGAAGAACTGTACCTATAACCAGGTAGGGGCAATGCAGAGGGCCTGTGCTGGAGGTGGCTGCAGGGCCACAGAGGCAGAAAGCCAGAGAAGGGATTCGGGAGGAGCCTGAGGAGAAAGGATGAAACTGTTCCAGGCTGCAGAGGGAAGGGCAGGTCTTGGCACACCACCATGGTGTGGTGCCTCTTGGCTTCTAGAAAACGTTCTCAGCATGCAAGCAGCCAGTAGTGTGTTCATGAGGCTGGGCCAGTGTGTCCAGTCTGCCTTGAAGTGAGACTCAGAGCCACACTCAAGGCTGTGCCGCGCTGTGTCCTCCTGAAAGACTGCAAGGCACAGAACCTCTGGGGAATCATAAATGGTTGAAAGGAACTTAGCAATGTGAAGTCCAGCTCCCTCATATATACACAGGGAAACTGAGGCCTAGAGGGGACAGGTGAGCTTTGCTCAAGGTGGCAGAGCAGGCCAGTAGCAGGGAGAGTAATTAAACTCAGATCCTAGCTTTTCTGCTTTAATCCAGCCAGCTTGATAAATGAGGCTGAGGTAGGCTCAGAGAGCTAGGGGTGAAGGCTGTGGTGACTCTGGCTGGGGAGCCACCAAAGGGGGAGCCACTAAAGGCTGCAGAGGGCCCTGTTAAAACGAGAGTGGCCTTCTGCTACTCTCTTCCCCTGGAGCACCAATATTCTTGGGTTCTAACTGGTGCCTAGGCATTCTAGACTCTCTTCTTTCCACTGTTTGCTCAGCAAGCAAGATTTATCAAGAGCACTGGCTGGCGGAGTGGCTCAAGTGGTAGAGGGCCTGCCTAGCAAGTGTAAGGTCCTGAGTTCAAACCCCAGTACCACCAAAAAAAAAAAAAGAAAAAAGCACCTTGCCCTCAGTGTCCTTTGGCTATAGTAGAAATGCTGTCATCCTCGCTGTTCTAGAGGAATCTGGATTGAGTTTGTGTGACTCCTGTGCTCTCCCAGGCACACTTCCGTGTGGAGTGATATGCTTTATGAGCGACTCTTCTCTCTCTCAGGTGCAGACACGCAGTGCTGATGAGCCTATGACCACCTTTGTCTTATGTAATGAATGTGGGAATCGCTGGAAGGTCTGTATGTCTCTATCTTTCTCCCTCCCCATCATCCACAGACCCTCTCATAGACACACACATGAGAAGTAATATCCACAGCCTGGAAGGCAGGGCTGGGGGTTATCACCAGCCTGTACACATTAGGCCTGCAGAGCCAAGTCAGTGTCCGGTGGTTTCTGGGGAGGCGAGGGGAGGGCATCACCTGGGGTGGGGCTGCAGCCGCAGTTTATCACAGGATGGGCAGCGCTGTCAGCTACACACGGTTGGAATCAGCTTCCTGAGCTCTAGGGGGGAGGAAAAACAACTGTGTCTTTGGGCCACATCTCTTTGCAAAGTGCTTCTGCAGATGGCATTTCCCTTGAACCTAGCCCTAGCAGGGGTGAGAGACTGAGCCCAGTTGGAAGGGAGTGTCCCCTAATGATATGAGGCACCCTCCCCTCCTCAGGCAGCACTGGAGAAGCCTGCTACCCAAGGCTGCTAGGTAGTTACCCTGGCTCCTGTGGAGGTGGAGGTTTGGTTTTCAGCCATGGGAGCTAAGCAGAGACCCCTCCCAGAATGCCCCTGCCTGCCAGACCATCTTCTGTGTCACATAGTTAATGTAGTACCCAGTGCCATCTGACTTGCACGTGCATAGGTGATGTCTAGGACCAAGCAGACTTCAGGAATGCCACAGTTGTAAGATACTTAGTGAGGAGCCCAAGACTGGGCCTGACACTGGACCCCTGGCTTTGTCTCCCATCCTGTCCTATCGCTGTGCAATCTTGAGCTTGTCACTCACCTCCCTGAACCTCCATGTCTCTCCCTCGGGATCCGTGTGAGGACTGTCTCTATATCTAGCTACAGAGCCATTCTGAGGACTGGAGAAAGTAACACACACAAAGCATTTATGCCTCTGATACCTCTTACCATATCTCCATCAAATTAGAAAAAGGTGTCCCTTCCGCTAGGCAGACATGGCCTTGTCCCAGGGCAGAGCAAGAACAACATAGACTGAGTTTCAGCCTCAGCTTGCTCCTTGGCCCAAAAAAACTTCTCAAATTCTGTTGCCTCTTTGATTTTTAGTTTTGTTGATGGAAGCACGCACCAAGACAGCAATGAACAAGGTGAAGAAGAACAAAGAAGAAGTGCTAAACCACCTGAACTGAAGGAAAAATAAAAGTTAAAATGAAGAAAAATACTGAACTCTGGATGAAGCGGTAGGGAACAGAGAATTCTTTTGCAAATTAGTGATCAATCATTAATTATGACTGGCTTATAGGTGGAGCCTAATTGGAGTGCAGAGCTAACAATCTGTGTTGACAAGCCTTGTAGAATGAGTGCCAGAGCAGAGGTGTCCCATCTTTGACAATTGGGCTGGAAGACCTTTGCTTTGAGTTCTTTCTTTCTCATCGGAATCTCTGTCTTTTCTGGATTGAAAAATACTAGATCAGAGCTGGGGCTGTAGCTCACTGGTAGAGGATGTGCTTAACAGGCACGAGGTCCTGGGTTCCATCCCCAGGACAAAAAAAAAGAAAAGAAAAAGAAGAAGGAAAATACCAAGTCAGGCACAGTGAAAACCACATGGACACAAATCTTCCCTGACCCCCGAGTTGCACTTGCAGAATTGCAGATCCAGGGTTTGGCTTACAAGACTTCCACACCAGGTAGAAATATCTTCTCTCATCTTTTCCCAAGTGCTCTGCTTTTCCCTGTTCATGGCTGGCAGCAGGATCGTTGAGGACTCTGGACTGGGTCCCTCTGGACAGGGAACAGAGCCTCTAGAGCACAGGCCTTTTGCGTGAAGACTACAGCAGTGCCCCTGACTTACTTACTTCCCGTTGGAGGCCCTGCCTGGGTCTGAGCAGCATGTTCCTCACAGCTCCATTTGTACCTGAGCTTAAGAGGAAGTTTGCAAGAGTTCTATCTCCTACACCCTTCCTCAGGGCAGAGCTTCACATGGTGGGCTGAGAC